AGTTTCCATTTTATTTTCCATTATCCATATATAACCCCAATATATTTACGAGGCATGCAGCAACTTTGTACAGGAGCCACCCCCAAAGCCCCAGCCGCCTGTGGGGGTCCGTCTGCCAGGGCCTGATAGCGATCGCCTGGGAGCATAAGGGCCCCCCGTTTCAGAGTCTCCTGGTTTCTTAGGGTTTAGGGTTTAGGGGCCCCAAAAAGGGGGAACCCAATATAGACCCCAAAAAAGTATAGTCCTTATTTTAGGGACCCCCAATATGGTACCCCTAATTTTTCAGAGTTTCCTGGTTCATAGAGCACCTTTGCAGGTCCGGAGATTGCGCTTTCATTTCCCAAGCATTTGGGCTCAGTGTCTTGGTTTTGGTAAGCGCAGCTGTTATGGCCTGGGTTTCGATGTCATGTTTTGGGACTGCGGGCGTTGGGGCTTTAGGGCTTTGGGTGGCTTTTAGGCATTGGGCCATCAAACACCACTCTGTAGCCTTGACATACATCAACGAGGGTTTGAAGCTTGCCCTCCCTCACTAGGCTTCTCCAAACCAACTTCCAACAGTTACCAACCCTCAACAGTGGCCCGGCTGCAGAACCCTGAGGCTAAAAACGCGAGAAGCCACAACCTTTTGCCTTCGATTGTAGCACCCATATGTCCTACTCAGCACCTACCTGAACATCTTCTGGGTTAGGCCCCACCTATTTTAGTGACTGTGTGCGATACTTGCCAGGAGACAAGATAATGGGGATACTGCAGGACACCTGTTTTGCGTCATGGCCTAACATTGCGAGGTAAGTTCCCGAAGCACCCAATCTGAGCTCTCAGCTGGCGCGGGGCGCGAAGAGAGATTGACTGCGCTGCGGCATCAAGCCCCTGAAGCGTTGACACATGGATCCCATGTGAGGGATACGCGCAATTTTTGAGTTCAGGACGGGGACAGAGAACTATAAATTTATGATGCATGGGGCTGTGTTAAATTTTCGCGCGCTCATGAAAATGGAACTTGCAACATCACATCGTAACGTGGATGGATGGCTGCTTAAAAAATATCTATTCAGACAAAATTACGGGCTCGTTTTTCAAGAAGGTCCTATATCTTAATTCACAGGCTCTTCCTATCAGAGCCACCCGAAGCAGGATAAGAGCCGTACTCTCAAAAATCGACCCTTACATATGCCCGATTTCTCTCATGGTCCAGCTACCGAATCATGCTTCCCAGAACCTTGTACTCCAACTACCAGTTCCCAACTTCCACAAGCATCAGCTATCGTATGCTGTTGGGAACTTGGACCCTCTTGGGAAGGCTGCTTGCGTCCTAAGCCCCAAAATCACGGAACTCAAAACCCATAACCCCCCAAGCACTCCAAAATTCTGAAGCCCTAAATCCCCACATCCTGAAACCCTGAAAGTTTTAAAGCATGGAAATCAGAACCCGGCTGCTAAAGCTCCTTGATGCTGCAACCTGCTTTTCTCCAAGAAGAATGTATACATAAACCGAGAAGAGACAAGCGAGTTTCTCAAATTAGCCCTATACATCTGGATAAGGGTCCGGTTTTCTTCGCCCGCCCCCCAGTTCCCCATTTTTGAGAAACTTCCTCCCACATTAGTATAGATACGCCTGTTGTGGAACTCCCCAGCTTCCAGGAAGAAACGAAATGCAGCTACGCCACGCAGGTGCAGCTCCTCGGCCCCGACGTGCTGCTCCTTGCAGCTGGCTACACTGAACCCTAAATAAATTACTACGAACCTCAAAGAACACGGAGCATAACTCACTTCATGTTGGCATTGGGGTTTACAGCAATGTGACTGACGTGGGGGCCACCTTGATCCAAATAACGGGGAAATTGTTAGCTGGTGTTTAGGTCGCGGTTTGTGAGCCAGGCCTGAATAGTTACAGGTATCCTCCCCTCAAAGGTCTATAGTACTATCCTACAGCTATGGTGCAGTGGTACTGAAAAAGCCAAAACTCTATCATGGTGACGGTTGGGACCTGACGACGGGGCAAATATTCTGCCATGACAGATCTGTGGCTGCACCTGTGTTTAGATTCGAAGGCGTTGACAGGGACTCTATGGGGGCATTCTCCGGAATTTCGCATGATTGAGGATTCACAGAAGAGCCCAGGTCCAAAGATTTCCTACATTATTGGAGGCCCTGTCGCTGTGCGCAGCATTACAAAGGTTGAGAGGTTCAATGCCAAATGACTGGCTGAAAGGGCCCTAGAAAGCAATTAGTCTCCGAGCTTCGTGCCTTTTGAGGTTCCAGATGCTTGGTTTGAGATGACTTTTCGGATCCCAAAAAGGCTGATTTGAAGGTTCGGCCAGCCCTCGATGCCACCGCAAGGGCACAAAGGAGCAGAGATTTTGTTTGGAGGTAAGGATACTTTCGTGATGTCTGGGGGGGTACTCCTTTTGAGGACGGGCCACTTCAAACAGAAACAGAACAAAAAGCTTGGGATGCCCGGGTTGCCCAAATGCCATGCAATAGAAACACTTCTTGCATTGGGGCCTTTGATCGTAATTCAAGTATCCAGCCAGATCCCAGCAGCTCTTTTTTCCAGTCATCCTGCACCAAACGCGCTGGGACCATGAGATCTCATGAACTGGTATGACATGAGATCAAGGGCTTCCCTAAATCCTGCGTACAAGGCTTGACGGGCCTCCCCCCAAATTTGGTGATCCTGCTTGCCATTTACGCTATATGCAAACAGCCAAAGAAGGTAGCCATGAACTCAGTCAGTGTGGCTACTACAAATTGCAAAGGTGTCTCCACACAACCCCTTGCAATCTTGCAGGTGCCTTTGCAGGTTGCCAGGAAGGTAGTACAGCTATCATTACATACAAGACTTTCAGTGGCCTTCCTGTTCATGTTGTTGAAGCCTATGAAACAGGAAGCTCCGCGTAGATTTGCTACCACATGTGGCTCACAACCTATTTTGACCCTGCAAGGGCGATGGGTGAGATTGACGCTCAAACGACGAACAACGTCTCCTGCCAAGCTGCAAGATTCAGGGCCCGGCGTTTGAGGACCGCATGTGCTACCCCTGCTACTATGTTACCTACTGTATCATACGGGTATATAGTATTTGACGATGATAGAAGTGCGCCTAATCCTATCGAATTGGCTCAATAGAAAGTGGGATTGCTGCTTTGGGAGCTTCAGCAGGATTCCCAGGGCAAAGCACTTTAGATTTCATGGCTTAAGCTTTTGAAGGCTTGCGGATCCCCTTGCTGAAGCCGCTCTTGATGCAGGAACTTTTACAGCAATCAGGATCTTTAATGAACATGGGCATGTGTAAATTGTAAATACACATGCGATGAAAGTCCGAGCGTGTTTTTGTTGCAAGTGGCAGCGCCCTAACCATTATACGTGGCAGGCATTCGTCCAAGGAAATTAGTGTATAATTCTCCAAGACAAAACGCAAATACTTGTTTATGCCATCGCAGTAAATGACAGAAACCCATCAACACATCACCTGGGCCACTATATTCGGCAGCATCACTGATGTACAGAGGATCGACTCAAACCACGGCAGCTAGGACGAGCTTTTGTGTTTTCCCTCTGTCCCTTTCACTATGTCTCTGGGTTCGGGAAGGTTCTGAATTCACTGCCACTTGACCTTGCAGGCGGACAGTTAAGGTCATTCAAGTCAAGCTCTGTACGACTACTCCTACTGCTGACGCTTTCGAACTCCTAGTAGTACGACTACTGGTGCTTCTACCTCTTTGCTTTGGATAACTTCTGCCATGCCCCCCATCCAAGGTGTTGGATTGGTAGCCCATCTCATGCCCTCTGGCCTCGTCCAGAATTCCGCAATCGCCGCTATCCTCGATTTCCGGAGGATTGGTTTTGTGTTGCTATGAGGTTTCAACCCGAGTACTAGGAGTGCTCAGCATGGTGGTGGACTCGACCGAGCTCTTACACGATTTGCTCCTGCTTCTAGCAATAGAAATGAAGCAGTTCAGTTTGGGGATGTTCGTGTTTAGAGTTGCGCGTTTTGGCCCAAGGTAATTCTCCCAAATTTGGCTACCTAGATAGCAGCGCACGTTCAGACGAGAAACCCAAATCAGCTGCGCGTTTTGTACACTTTAGCGGCATCCCCCTACATAATCACCACGCCAAATAATAGAACTGCCCACTCCTCTATTGATAAATCAGCCCGAGGTGATTTACAGACCACTACAAAAGCCCAGACACCTGGTAGAAGCCCTGACGTCTATGTCCCTTTTTTGAGCTGAGGCCCGCTTAGCTCAGCCGATGACGAGCTCTTCTCTGCATGTTTGTCCCTAAACCCTTCAGTCAGTGATTGTGAAGATAACGCAACCTGAAGCCATGCCACCCTTCACAGAGAGATCTAAGTGATCGTTCTAGCAATTAAACACTTAATCTGAGCTCCTGGTAACACACCCTAGTTTGAAAGGGAATTAGCTGGGCTTCAGGCTAATCAGGAGCTCCAATTAAACAATCTGAAGGATTTAGTAAGACTCAGTTACTTGGCTACTCTTAACAGGTGAACAGGAGGGCTTATTCTGAAATCTTATTGCTTAATAAGTATCATAAGTAATTGAAAGCTCAAACTTTGCTTGCTAAGCTACCCCTTATTGAGAATATCTCTCTTGATCTTCTAATCATGGAAAATTCAGGGCCATACGTTTCGAAACTGCTTTTAAATGCCCAGTCATTAGTTGCTCTTAGAAAGAAGATAGGAGAGCTGTTTGGAACCCCTCAAATTGAGCCTAGCACAGCTGGCTCGAAAACCTAGGCGAGCTGATTCTGATAGTTAAGTCCACCTAGCAATCTAATGTTTCTTTTTTTTTCGAGAGGCGGGGGCGTCGTTTCTAATCAGCAGCCCCGACTATCACTGTCTCGAACTCAGGCAGAGCTGCAAGTGGGCAGGGATAACTATAGTTGTCCTCTGAGCCAAGGTCCATCTAACCCCAGCTTTAAATTCCTACGGGACATCCAAAAACGACTTCGACCACCAAAGTCTTGTGCCAGGTGACCCGAGCATTCGGCCCGCCACCGACGGCTGGTCGCTTGGCTGCGGTAAGGAGGGCCATGTCCTGCTCCTCAGCATGAGATGAGCTGAGGGCTTGACCAGAAATGGCCAGAAACATGCGGCTCCGTGTCGAGGGCTTAGACAGGGAGCCCCCATCAAGATCGAAGCCACATCTCTTTGATTTGCTCATCCCTTAGACATCCGTAGACCGTAGACCCACAGGAGGTTCCGACACAGTCTGATGAGCCCAAGCCGCTGGCAGCACCATGACCAACTGGAACAGGCCACTGACCAAGAAGATGAGAGCTGAACTACGGTGGCTGTCTCTGTGCCTTGCATTCCTGGTTGGGAGGACTGCTATATACAAAACAGATGTACATACGACGGCCAGGATACTCTACTACTCCTAGTGTGCAGTAATGCCTGCCCCCTTAGCAACACAGTGTCTATGATGCTTGAGGCTACTACGAATGTCCCACTAATCTTACCATACATATATACCTCCCGTTTGAGCTTCTCAGCATCACAGGATCCTGCAGCGTGAAATCAAAGATGTCGCTGTTCTCTTTCTGGTGGCTCGCAACATGGCTCTTTGGGATCACCTTAGCTCAAAGGCATCCTAGGATTCCGTTCCCCAGTAACTTCCCTTAATAATAAGGGTACCTTTTTCCTACCGTTCAGCTTTTTGATAAGGAGACCCCAACATAAAAAGGGCAAAAGGGCACTACTGGGGTGATCACATCGAAGGTCTGAAGAGCTTACGGTTCAGGATGCCGGGTCTTAAAGCTGAAAGAGTTGGGTTTCAGAAATCGCTCAAGGCGGCCCACAATTGGTAATGGATATCCTGGATATTTGCGGTTTCTACGCATCCACCACTCCTCACACACACACACACACACACACTTGAAAGGTTTTCAACCCAACTAAGTTGAGTTGAAGGACTCGTAGTCCCATCTGCTTCAAGGCAGTTGTCAACGGGATTCAACGGGGTTTGTTGGAGGTCTGAACCTGTTATGAACTTAGATGACTTATTTGGGCTTTCTCATCATGTATGAACAAGGACCAAGTTGCATGATAAGGGAGTATACCCTTTACTGCAGAAATCTGTCCTCTAGCTGCCGCAAGGCCCAAGAGCAACAGTTCTATGAATCTGTCCTCCAGCTGCCGCAAGGCCCAAGAGCAACAGTTTTTTGGAAATGCC